GAGCGGGGGGAGCGGGGACGGCACAGGACAAGGGGTGACTTTTACTGCTGGTGCGGCTTCCCCTCCTCCATGATGGCCAGCCCATACCTGCAACACCAAAGGGGTTTTGGGGGCTGTCCCTGTGCCTCAGCATCCCATCTGCAAATGCCCGACTGCGGGTGAGCCCTGCCGGGCATGCTGCTGGGTGTGCATCTGGAGAGAGGATACCTGGAAGAACCAGGACTCCTTCCCTTTCTCCCATGCTTGGGGGGCAGAGCCCCCCCTCCTCCCACGGCAGCCCCTGCTGCCCTCCCTGCCTCTCCTCGCTAGCAGACCTTCGCACCCCATGTGCAGAGCTGGGGTGCCGGGTATTAAATAGCCATTTGCAATCACTTTCCAACCATTTTAAATATGCCTGAAACTAGAGGTGGTGTATAAAACGAATGCGGTAATGATGCTGACCAAAGAATAATCCTTTTTAAAAAAGCATTCAAGAAAGATTATATATAATAGAATATATTAAATTCTGTACATGATCAAATAATGTAAACATAATTAATTAACCTGTAAGAATGTCTTCAGAGACCATGCCTGCCATGTGCCCAGGGCAAAGGTGAATGGTGGCACGTGGGGCTCCTCTGTCACGCTTTGCCATGGGTGCCTGGGTGGGGAGAGGAGCAGGAGGTGCCCACCCGTGGGTCCCACCCTGACCTGGTGCCGAGCAGCCGTGCTTCCCCTGTGGCTTGGTGGGACCCAGCACCCACACCATGGTAGGGTAGGTGGTGTTGGAGCAAGAAGGGAATGGCTGGGCCAGGAAAATGTGCTGGTTCAGTGGGCTAACCCTCGCTGCAACCCAGGGCCAGGGGGTTTAGAGAAAGCCAGTAGTGCCCAGGAGGATGAGGGGCTGTGCAGAGAGCCCTGTGGGACAGAGCAGCAGCTCCACAGCCCCCCATCCCAGCCCCTCTGCCTCCGCTGGACCAGCAGCTCCTCCCAGCCCCGCAGCCTCCCTGGCTGCCCCACTCCAACCCCTGCTGCACCGCGGGCTGAGCTGCCCGGCAGCGGGGACCCCTCATCCCCGCGGTGCAGGATGGCAGCGGGTCCCTGGCCCACCCCTGTCCCACAGAGCATGGGGCTGGCTTGGGGTCCTGACACACATGTGAACCATGGCCCCCATCCCCAGGGAGCACCGGTCCTTGGCAGATGGGTGCACCAGGGCTGACCCCTCTTGCTGCCATCTCCCCAGACCAGCTCCCCTGGCATCCTGGGGATGCGCAGTGAGCCCTTGGGGACAGGCATGCTGGCTGCTGGCTGGAGTCACTCCTGAAGCCAGTAGCGACCCCCCAGCAGCCCCACAGCCCCGGCCGTGAGCCCTGTGGCACCTCCCTGAGCTCTGCACACTGGGGAAGCAGCATGGGTCACTGAGGTTTGGGGCAGGGTGGACCCCACGCTGCGCTGCCTCCGGAGGCCTGGCCACTGCATCCCTCCCCTCCACACACAAACACCCCTTCTCAAGGATGACCCACATCACGGCCCCTCGGCTTCCACCCCATCATCCAACACCCAAAGCCATGGCCAAGCCAAGATGAGACACGTGATGGGGCGCAGCCCTCAGCATTGCCCACGGCCTCTCTCCTCCTCTCCCTAAGCTCGATCCTTTCTTCCTTCCAATGCTAAAACTCAATGGCAAAAGAGTGCATGAAATCAAATAAATACGCCCCCCTCCCCGACGCTGTGAGCTCTCCCAGAGCCTCCGGCACAGGGGACCCAGGCCAGCAGCACATCACTCCCGGCAGAACCACCCCATGCGGGGCTGTGCACCACACACAGGAGTGTGCTCATGTCTGCTCCGAGCAGGCTACCGCAGATTTCCCACAGGCAGGCGTGACCTTGGCCCTCCCAGCCACCCGTGGGCACGTGGGCTGCCGAGACGCTGGCCCCAGGGCTGCAGATTGCGCACCCTTCCCTCCATCAGCAGCCCCCCCTTCTCACTGCTCAGTAAGAAAACCTGCCTGGAGCCACGCAAGGAGACCCACAGTGGAGGCGGCCTGGGCATGTGGGCTCGGCAGAGCTCAGATCTCCACCAGGATTTAGGGGTGACGAGCCTCTCCTTGTCCTGGGGCAGGGTCCCCGCTCTTGACACTTCTACTCAGAGGGCTCCTTTCCTGAGGTGGCTCAGAGAAAAGGGTCCCTTTCCAGAAAGGGATGCCCACGCAGGGTGTTCCACCACCAGCCGTCACCGCTCTGTCACCCAGCCCAAGGACAAATCAAACCGGCACCACTGCAGCGGGGCACTGGGACCGTCTGGAAAGGCTTTCCCTTCCTGCTCCCTGGCTCTGGCGGCCTCTCCTGCTCGCCTGCCCTGTGTCCTCTGGAGGATGCTCACGGGAGGACCCAGCCGATCGCGCACGCATGTGGGCTGGGGGCCCTACCCCATCTCAATATTTGACCCTACGGTTTGTGTTTCGTGTTCAACCTCAAGCTCAGACCAATGGCTCTAGCCCATCTTAACAAACAAAGGCAGAAGAGAAAGGAAAAAAAAAAAGTTAGTCTCAATGTTCCCCTTGTGGCTTCTCAGTGGTGAGCCCCCCCCCCCGGGGCGGGTGTCACCCGGGCACCCAGCTCTGGTTCGTGGGCTGCGGACCCCCAGGCAGCGCGGGCACATTGAGCCCGTTCTGTGGCGGGAGAGCCGAGTCAAAGTTGAAGTCCATCTCGTCACTGTCCATAAAGTCATTCAGGATGATCGACTCCACGTCGCACTCCAGGCTCCCATTGAACATGTCCAGGTCCAGGTCTGCTGGGAACCTGTCTTGGCCCAACACGGGGGGGTGGACAGCCCCCGGGTAGGGGCCCTGCAGCGAATCCAGCAAGCTCATGTGTGCCCCTTGGTTATTAGCGTAGGAATGCAGATGCCCGTGGTGCGGCATGGCTGTCATGCTGCATGTGTCACTGGGCAAGCTCATAAGGCTGACAGGATTAGCTAAGGCACTGGTGTTGACCGCAGGGTGGTGACCAGCTGGTGACGGGTGGTACAAAGCGTTGCTCTTCATGAGAGAGCCTGAGTGGGACGGGTAGGAGGACAAACCCTGCTCCCCACTCCCGCACAGCAGTGGGTTGTGTCTGTGGCCACGGGCCGGCACCATGGGGCTGGCCTGCGGCAGGGGCAGGTCCCCCGGGACCATGCTCTCCTTGTGCGCATAGGAGATGGAGGAGAGCAGGTCCTGCAGCGAGGCGTTCCTGTAGGAGCTGACGGGCGAGAAGGTGGCTTGCTTGTTCTCCTGGATGGTCTGCATGGGCAGGCGGCGCATGAGGCTCATGGCCGGCTGGCTGTAGATAGTCCCACAGTAGGTGTTGGTGGCAGCCCCCATGGTGGAGCACTTGGAGTTGAAGGTGAAACTGGAGCTCCGCTGCCGCAGGGCGGCCGGGGGGAGCTGCTGCGAAGGGCTCATGGTATAGCCGTCCTGCAGGTCGTCCAGCATGCTCTCCCCAAGGCTCTCATTCAGGCTGATGGTGCCAGTCAGGTCGGTCAGCCGGGGCAGCTCCACGGAGCAGCGGGCATTGAGGGAAGGAGACATGGTGCTGGAGGGGCTGGGGTACATCAGCGGAGAGGAGGGGGTACCGTCATCCTCCTCCAGCTCATCCGGCTCATGGTTAGACATGATGGGCGAGAGGCGCCCGCTCAGCGTGCTGGCCGTGGAGTTGGCCCGCGTCCTGAAGTCCGCCCAGGCATCGTACTCATCGCTGGCATGGGACGCGGGGCTCTCCGACCACTTGGCTTGCTGGGAGGAAGGGCTGTCCTCCCCACGCTCCTGCGTCACCTGCAGCTGCTTCTTCTTGCTGGCCTTCCCCTTGATCCGCAGGAACTTGCTGTTGTTGTCCATCGAGACTGCCCGCCGGCGGGGCGTCTTCCCCGTCTTGCCGCCCTCGGGGTTCAGCATCCACCAGGAGCTCTTGCCAGTGCCCTCGTTCTGCACACGGATGAAGCGGGTGTGCAGGGAGAGGTTGTGCCGAATGGAGTTCTGCAGAGACAGCAAGGGCAGAGGGGATGGTCAGCAGTGGCTCCAGCACCCCAGGCAGGAGCGGGGTGACCACAGGGCTGGGGAGAGGCGGGGCATGGGGCAACATGGAGGACCTGGGCTCCATCCCTTAGGACACTACTGGAGGGGTCAGGGTTCAGTGGGCTCAGCCAGCGGGTGTCTCCCACGGCACTACCGGGCATTTCACCTCGGGAACCCATGGGTCATGACCCTTTGCTGCATCTATCAGCTACCTATCATTAGTGCAATTACTGTCATAGCAGTAATTGGGCGGGGGGTCTTTAACGTGTGCCCTGGGGACCTTGCACCAGCCTTGCACCAGGCAGGGCCAGGTCTCAGGGGACTCTTCTTCCCTGGCAGGAGCCTGGGGAGGGACAAGGTGAGGAAGCACAAAAACAGTGGCAGTCAGGGGTCCGGGTCTTCTCCGTCCCTCCCAGCCCTGGCCACCCACGCTCCAAGCAGAGCCCACCAGGATGCTCCCAGCACAGCCTTGCCCATGCAGGCCTCTGCAGAGGTCCCAGCCCGCTCTCCCCACCACCAGGCACCCCACCAGCTCCACAGGGGAGGGAGCAGCGTGCATGGCGCAGCGTGCGTTGTCACTGCCACTGCCCAAAGCAACACACCAGCACCATGTAAGTGAGATTGTGGCCCAAAAGGCCTGTCACCCCCTGCAAGCAGGGCCAGGGGCCCAGGCAGAGAGGGTCTGGGTCTCTGCATGTCTGCAGGCTGGGTCCGGCGGCAAGGACAGAAGGCACGCACCCTGCCCGAGAGGCTCAGGCACCACAGCACAGGGTGTTTGCAAACCCAGCTACAAACCCCATTGCCCAGACAAGGGCTGGTTGGGGAGCACTTGTGGCTCCCTGCATCCACATCCAGCACCTCAAGAGGTTTTCCCACTGGGAGCAATCCTCTGCTCCTCTTGCTCGTGCCTGCTGCCGCAGCTCTGAGCTGCTCACTGGCCGCAGCGGCGATGCCCTTGCAGAAGGCAGGAGGAGGTGGGGAGCTTGCACCAGGGGCTGCGTTCCAACGCAAGCGTGCCTGGCTGCCACTGCCCCATGGGGTGACAGGCTGGGGTGACCCTGGGGAGCAAGGGTCATCAGAACCACATTGTCAAAGCTCTGGCCAGGAGAGGAGAGGGGACAAGGACATCTGCCTCTTGCCGCTGATCTTCTGTGGCTCATGGGACACTACTCCACCTCCCTGTGCCTCAGTTTCCCCAGGGTCCAGAGGGGAAAGGCAAGACACAGAGCCCAGGGAAGAGCATCCTGGAGACGCATCAGCCCGTGGTGTAGAGATCCTTGCTCCAGCACTGCCGGTGGGCTCAGGGCTTGGCAGGGGCTGCCAAAGGGAGGCAGGCAGCTCCCCCTGCCCCTGCCGAGCTGTGGAGGGGCAGAGGGACGAGGAGGGGGAAGAAACCAAGGTGCCTGGGAGAAAGTTTGGTGCCGTTGCTGGCATACAGCGGAATACTAATGAAGAGGCGAGTGAGCTCCAGCCTCATCTATCATATTATGTAATGGCTTACTTCTCTGCACTTCATTTATTTGGAGATTGCTCCCAGGCTGGCTCCTCGCCAGCAGCCACCAAATCCAAGTCTACAGAAATCAATCTCGCGCTGACTGATTAAGCCGTGTTTAGAACTAATTGCTCCTTCGTGTGTGGGGAGAATAAATTACGGGCTTTAATTTCACATCTTTAAAATGCAACTGCAGGTATGGGCTAGCCATTAACCCCTTCCTGCACGGCCCCGTGCACAGCCAGGGAGGGGGCAGGCCGAGGCTGGCATGGCTCAGGGAACAGGCCGGGACATGTGCTGCCCTCCGCGGCGGTGGCTGCCCATGCCGATGCCCGTTGCCTGCAGCTGGAGCAAGCTGAGCCCTGGGCCAGCCTGCCCGGCAGGGAGAACTCTCCCTGACCCCCCAAACACCTCTCCCTTGGACCACAGGAAGACCCCAGCTCCTCGCTGTCTGACTGAGCCACAGTGCAAGCAGCAGGGGACAGAAGCAGAGCACATGGCCGTCACCGTATTTGCAGAGCCAGAGCCACCAGCCAGTTCAGCCACCTTGCACCCCCAGACACACACCCAGGGGGCTGAGGAAGCCTGAGCAGGGCTCACTGGGGTGGTGCCCAGCTGCTGTTGGGCCCCTCACAGGATCGGGGACCCCCTGCATGACCCTGCTCCCTCCCTGCTGGTGCTCCCCAGGTCCACTCCGCTCGGGAGACAGGAGATCCTGCAGCCCTCCGCGTCTGGGACTGAGCTGCCATACTGGTGTTTGGGAACACCATGGCTGGACAGGGGTGACATTCAGCACGGTGCTAACCTCCTCCTCTGCTACTGCCTCTCTCCCGCTTCGCAACTCCAGTGCAGGGCACCCAGGGCCCCAGCACCACCCATGAATGCCGGGCCAGGCTGGTGGCGGGCGGGTGACAGGGCTGGTGGGGGGAGGCTGGCGGGGTCAGGCTGCCCGAGGGAGAGGAGGGGAGGGGAGGCTGCTGCCTCTTCTGCAGCAGAGCTTCATTAAGAGCCAAAAGACAGCAGCAATTAAGTGCAAGGCGCAGCAAGCCCGGCTCTCTCCTCATTAGCACCCCGACGCGTGCGGCTGGCCGTGGCTTGGGGTGCACGACGCAGAGCAGCAGGCTGCACAGGGGCGGGCCGGGAGCTTAT